GTGAACAAAAACCCGTCCCACACACCCTGTTCATAATATTGTGCACAATCATGTTTGGCTTCTGATGTCACCAGTGATTGGGAGAGTTGGAAATGTTAATACAATATTGAATTCATCTGTATGGGTATAGCAGAGATGAGTAGGGATACCCAAATAACAGCCTCCCATGCAGTAAATGGAAGATTGCCCAATACACATGGAATGGTAGTTGTATATGTTGGGCAAATTAGTCTTGTGGGTGGGTGTAATTATTCTTTGCAAAATAATCGGATTCCCATGTGTACGCCTTTAGCATATGATGTGCCCTCATTTGTTTAACCTAATTTCGCTGTGTTAGAGACAACTGTCTTTGCTGCCTTTAAAAAAGTGAACTGATTTTGATTTCTCTGTTAATATTGATTGTTGTAGAGCATGTAACAATGAGATTGTGAATACTTGACCCCAAGAGCAGCTGGTTGATATGGAGGCTGTCTAGTTGGGGAAGGGGGGCCAGCTAAAGCCTGGATTACTCTTGAGACTTTATTTAATCATGCCAGAATCATGGATTGGATATAGAATTGTACTGTTACAAAAGACCTCACATCTTGCTTTGGCCATACAAACTATAGTAAAGTTAAAGCAATTAACCTTTGTGGTGCTAGGGTCATGTGATAACTGTGTGCTAAGCCTTATGTCTGTTTTATTGCTCCTTTGTGTTCCCCAAACAAACCTGTTCAGTTCAGTAGACTGAGGATAAATGCCAATTGAAACAAATGTAGCATACGCAGTACTATAAACAAATTCTTGTTTGTTGGCTGATGGAATATCGCCAATTTCTGCATTTTTCTTACATCTGTTAATATGGTAATGATAGCGGTGAGCTTTAGCAATTGTTAATATTTTATTAATGTCTATAAACACCGAATACAGATTATGACACATAGGCGGTCTAGTGGTGTGGAAATATTTAAAAAAAAAACTACTTGTCCAGGGACTAATTTGCGGTCCCAATCTACTTGTCCTGATTAAAAGAATTTTTTGTTTTTAACCAAAACCAGATTTAAATCTGGGGTACATTTTGGAATGTCTGGGGCTTTTAAAAATGAAAGGGGCTTTATGGCGACTTAAACCTAATGTTTTTAACATTTTGCTCTTTGTCTCCTCCTCACCCCCCTGTCTGTCCCCAGCACAGCACCCGGGAACTAGCAGGGAGGAGAGAGACCTTGCAGTGTAATAAGCCCTGACTGGGTGCTCATCAGGAAAAGGGAGTGTCTGGCTCTTTTAATGCTCAGCAGAAGAGCATCTGCTGAGCAAATAAATGAGGCGAAGGCACCAATGAGAAAAAAAATCTATCCTTGCACATGGAAGCACTTGGGTGCTCAGTACTAGCACCTGCTGAACAGCTAAATCAAGCTCCACTGTCTGCTCCATTAGGCCCATTCATACCTGGACATTTTGGAATTGTGGCAGAATTGCCCGTGATTCTGCCTGTAAACTCAGAACATGCAGCTTCAGTGGTGCCTAAAATGCGGTGCGGTTTTGCCACGATTGTCACGTGATTTACTGTGTGGAAATTGCGGCAAATTGCATCGCGTGAAGCTTGTTGCCTAAAAAGGAGCAGGAGCTTTCGGCACGATTGTCGTGCGATTTGCTGAGCAGCAGTTCGCATTGCATGAAGCTTGTCACCGAAAAAGGGGAGACAAGCTTCATGCGATGTGATTTGCTGTGCGACAATTGTGCCAAAGCCGAATCATGTTTTAGGTGCCATTGAAAATATGGCACCTGAACCTGCATTTTGTGATTGTGGGCAGAATTGCAGCAATTCTACAGCAATCCCAAAATGCCCAGGTGTGACTGGAGTCACCCTGGTTCACATATATGTGATTCTGGATTTTGTTATGTTACAGCCTTATTCCAAAATGGATTAAATAAAAATTTTTTCCTCAACATTCTACAAACAATATCCCATAATGACAACATGAAATAAGTTGGTTTTGAAGTCTTTGCAATTTCTTGAAAATAAAAAAACGAAAAAACCACATGTACATAAGTATTCACAGCCTTTGCTCAATACTTTGTTGAAGCACCTTTAGCACCAATTACAGCCGTTTTGAGTATGATGCTACAAGCTTGGCACACCTATCAATGTCTCCCATTATTCTTTGCAGTGCCTCTCAAGCTCCATCAGGTTGGATTGGGACAACAATGCTATAGGCTTGGTGGTCAGTGGGAATAAAAAAAAAATTACAGTATTGATGTCAGTAGGAGAATTGGTACCCCATTGAGTGTCAGTGGGAGGAATAATGCCCCATTGATGGTGTCAGTGGACTGAATAGTGTCCTGTCTTTGGTGTCAGTGGAATAAATTGTAACTCATGTCAGTAGAAGGAATAGTTATCCAAGGGCCACATAAAGGCAAGCAAAGGGCCGTATCTGGCCCATGGGCTGCAGTTTGGAGACCACTGGCATAGAGCATGGAAGGATTATAAACCCTATCAGTTTTTTCCCTCCCTGTCATGTCGGGGAGATTTTTTTTCATCCCTTGTTTTAAAGACACAACAGGAAGTGAGTGGACATCTCTACAAAATAAAGGATAATTCACACGAGACAGATGTCGCCAAAACAAATGCTTCCTAATTACCCTCACTTCTTGTTTTGATGACACTTGGAAATTTTGAGTTTCCTATCACTTTCTAAATCTGTGACAAAAGGTCCTTATTTTAGTGTACTATGTTCTGGCCTCACCCTGGGAGTGGAGGGTAAACTAAAGAGTGGGTTCTGTGTGATCTTTTGTCTTCTCCTTACACCACTTGATGCTTCCATCCCTTTGCCACTTGATACATTTTTAATAGACCAGGAGCTGCCGTTCAGGAGAGTTCAACTAAGATATTGGATTGCATTTTACCTATTTAATGTTTCTTAGCCTGTTTAGCTGTTCAGCAGTCAGTATTCCAGATTCTGTATACTTTCATGTGGCAACATTACTTGTGCACAGTGCTCACATGGCACAATATGTTGGCACATTGCCTCATCACTTCAGGGTTTCTTATCTGTCTTTACTGTAGGGGACACAAAAACAACATATCTTACAAAATCCCTGCTAAATCTAAAACATAAAACTGTATTGAGTTAATAAATAAAGTTATTTGCGTGAATGAGGTCTTGGCCATCATTCACATGGGAGCTGTGGCCTGTACAGTGTGAATCAACCATTTCTATTATGTGGCTGGAGCTTTGTTATGCTGTGGGGATGCCAGTGGCTGTATGAACACAGTCACAAGTCCTAATTTGACAGGTGTGCAGGACCCCTCAGCCACACCTGCTCACCTGTCAAATCAGGACCTGCAGGTCTGTTCCTATAGTTGCTGCATCCCCATAGAGCAGGGATCTCCAAACTTTTCAAAATATGAGCCAGTTTACTGTCCTTCAGACTTTAGGGGGGCTGGCTGTACCCAATGGGAGTAAACAATGCCCAATCTTTGGTATTAGGGTGAGAAATAGTTGGTAACAGTAGAAAGGATTGTGCCCTATTGTTGGTGTCAGTGAGAGGAACTGTGCCCCATTGTTGGTGTCAGTGAGAGGAATTGTGCCCCATGGTTGGTATCAGTTGCAGGAATTATTCCTCAAGGGCTGGATAAAGGCAAACAAAGAGCCACATCTTGCCCCAGAACTGCAGTTTGGAGACCACTGCCATAGAGTAACAGGCGGCTCCAGCTGCCCAAACAAACAGCTCATTCACACTGTGTGAGCCAGAGAACCCGTGTTAATGAGCCCTTATTCTTTAGACAGAGACTTCACTTTTGAGACAGGGAAAGGGACTTAGGACACAGTCCTCAATCTCCATCTCTGCAGCCTCAGCTCCAGATGAATGAATAGGAAGAGCTCTGGACAGAGTTTCCCTGTTCACAAACTGAAAGTGGTTATAAAGGAAAAATTGTTTATCTGAAATCAAAAAGAGGTTTATACTTACCTTATCCTTATACTTGCACAAAGTGGCCACTTATCTTCTCTTCTGGAGTCCTCCACCGGTGCTGTCCGCTCCTTGTCTTCTGTGAGTGCCCCTTATAGTAAGCTGGCTGCTATGGGGGCACTTGTGTGGGCGCACTCCTGATCTGGGTTGTTTGTGTTCATCTCTCTAGATGAAAGCTGGCGGGAGGGAGGAGAGAGAGAAGCCTGCTTTTAGCTGCCACAGGAGCCACAGGGGATTGGTTCCAATAAATTCTCCCCTTGCTGAACTGATCACACCCTCCTGTCCAGGATCCCATTCCTCCTGCTTGTCAGCTGCCCCGGACCCCTGTTGAACAGATGGGGCCCTGTACATGAGGACTGGCTGTACCCCCTTATCAGCGGCCTTGACTGTAGGTATAAGGTATGCTGTAACACATTCTAAGTAATCATTTAATCCCTAGATTATCCATTGTTCTTCAACCACAATCAGGAATGTAAAGGCCTATATTATTTTAAAGTAAAGTATTTATGATTAACAATATGCAACACTATCAGACTTTTGAAAAATCAATTAATATGTTTTAATGTTGTTTTTTAAAGCAAATGTGTGCTAAGGGAATATGTAGGTTGCCATTTCTGGCCACTATGCTAGTGGCCTGGTTTTTATATTAGGTCAAAGGCTTTAATACTTTTTACATCATTCGTAAGAACAAATTAGGCATATTATGAAATCTGTTGGCACCCAGATTTAACCTTATACGTGCTTTTTCTGGGTTATTGACGGAAAATGTTCAAGCCAGAGACAGCCAGGCAACTAGCATTTTTGTAAATAGGTCAGCAGTAGCAGCCTTTGTGGGTTTTTTTTTCAGTACATATGTACTTTAAGTATGATCATATTCTAATTGATGGTATAGTAGTTACAGCCCTTATAATGAGCAGTGATGAAGCACCTAGAAAACAAAAAGGTAAATGTATTCTTAATATCTATTAATCTTATATGAATATAATTAGGGGACTGAGGATACAAAATAATTGACACAGAAGACTTATTCAAAATGTATTTAAACTTTTCAGGCTTTCCAGAAAGAAGAAATTGAACCCCTTCAAGCTCGGCTACAAGAGGTGAACTGGCTAGGTCAAGGGCTGGTTCAAAGTGCCGCAAAAAACACCAGCACCCAGAATTTAGAACACGATCTGGAGGAAGTAAATACAAGGTGGAATACTCTGAACAAAAAGGTACTAACTTCAGCTTTGTTTTACTTGTCTTGATTCAACACTTTCCTATTGTTTTTCTTTTCTGAGTTATGTGTTAAATATTCCCTTTCATGTCTGGGCACTTTTTCAAGACTGCTTATTTTGTTCTTGCTCAGACATCCAGTGTCCCTGCATGGCTTATTTCTGTATTGTATACAAGATGTCACGTTGCTAGTTAGCTAGTCAGCTGTGCTGATTTTATAGCTTTGGCACAATTGCAATGCTCCCCTTAAGTGGTATTCTTTTGTGGAGATTTTTTGTTTTAAGGATTAGGATTTTTTAATTTTGAATGTTATCAGCAAGCATTTTAATATGCTTTTCTTTTTGAATTGTATAAAATAGTTGAATGTTTGGAAAGCATCAGTAGTGGGTAGGGCAGTAATAGGAGATGTCCTACCTCTACGAATTCAGCTACAAAATCCTACCACCACTACCATCTGCTATTGGGTAAAAATTGTACAGATAAGCATGCACTGCACTAGGAAGCTTATAATGTTACAAAAAAAAAAATAGGGTTTGTTGTGCATTTACCCACCAAAAATACAGTTCACAAGGCCCATTTAAAGAATAGGCATAGCCAAACCTTTTTCTCTTTAATTTTAGATGGAATAGGTGAAAAGTTAAAACTGTTGTCAGTCTATTCTTAAACTGGCCATTGATGGTTTCAATCTTGGCCAGTTCAGCTGGGAACGGCTGAGATTCAAACCATGTATGGGCTGGCTGAATGAACCCAAGTTGATCAAATGATCAACTTGAGTACAATCAGCCTGCCAGATTTATATGTGATTACTGACAGCAACTATTATAGCTGCTAACAGTAATCACTGTGTTCTGGCAGAGACGGCTCTTCCTGCCCCGTCTTTGGGAGAGCACAATGTCTCTGCGGATAGGATGCAACCCACATTTGCAGGAAAGAAAATCGCTCCGTCTATGTCCAGCTTTACAGTATGTTTTTCCTGCCTTGTTGGAAAGATTTTCCTTCATTCCGGCCCTGGAGACACATCTAGAAGTGAGAGGAGATCTCTACAAAGTGAGAAATATTTCCCTCTAAGACAGATGTCATTAAAACAGATATCACAATAGGAATGTTTACCCTAACTTTTTGGTTTGCTGACTGCTTGGAAATCTTGTGCTTTCCATCACTCTCTGCCTCTGACAATTGTACCAGGACAAATAGAGAATGGTGGATCTGCCCTGTCCGTCTGGGTCACAGGAGTGCAGAACTAAATGCACTCCTGGTACCCACATGCAAAGTATGGTCAAAAGAACTTTGGCCATATTTCTCCTTTTAATGTACTTATTGACATTAGGTGATGGCTTCCCAGAGTCTGCAATTTTACATGGATTGTACATCAGCCAGAAAGTCTCTGGTGTACCCTTAGCAAACATCCTTTGAAAAGCTCCATCACAAAGGAAAGGTAATTATCAAATTAGAATTTTTCAACCTATAGCTTATGTTTTCACCATACTAAGAACAGAACTTGTGATGATTGCAGATTACATAAATATACATTCGTAGAATAGAACAGGATTGCCCATAAATATATGTGTTGTTAAAAAAAAGGTGTTTGTCACTAAGCTCATGACAGAGTACTGGTCTAGTGGACAGCTGTCTTACATTTGAGGGGGTTACTATAGCGTTTATAAAGTAAAAGTTATTCTCCTTATAGTACAAAAAAACCCAGCACTAGTCAAGATGATAAATAATGTGTGCAGTGAAAGCTTTCAAATTGAAATAAGGCTGCAGCTGGCATATTCTGTTCTGTTTGATATGTTTACAATATTCTAGACTAAAGAACACATTTTCTTTTATAGGTTGCTCAGCGTGCAGCTCAACTACAAGAAGCTCTGCTCCAATGTGGACGATTTCAAGATGCACTTGAATCTATACTGAGCTGGCTTGCAGACACAGAGGACCTTGTGGCCAATCAGAAGTCACCATCTGCTGAATTCAAGGTGGTCAAAGCTCAGATTCAGGAACAAAAGGTACAAGAGCAGTTCTCCTTTCATGAGTAAACCTACCTAATTATTTTCCATACTGCAAGAAAGTAAATATTTTTATGTCACCTATAACATGACAACCTAAAGCTGGCCATAGATGAAACGAGATCTGGCTGGTTCAGCAGTAACTGGATTTCGAGCAACTTACGGCCGTTCCCATTCCTGAGAAGACTATCTATCAACCTCTAGTGAACTAGCTTGTTGGAAAATTTTGCTTGGATCAGCAATGGACTGATCAGTATATTTTGACGGCAGATGAGTCCCGTTGTCAGAATATGATAATACAGCAAAGAGGATTCCCACATCCACCTCAAATGGATAAACAAAAAAAGATGGAGCAGTGTATTCCAGTAATGGAAAATGTGTGCCACTCAGGCTACAAGGGAAAGAAATCCTGTGTCCACCACTATGAGTGCAGGCTAGGGAAGGAGCATGTCTCAGCTCCAAGCAACTGTTAGGCAAAGGATGCATCCCATGAAGCCGCACATCTATCCCCTTTATTAAGCTCTTAGGGGCAGAGTGAAACATGTTGGGGGCATGGACTGGTGGGAGCCAAGACTAAAACTGCCATTCATTTCAATACCAGCAGGTCTGCATAGATGTGCAGCTTCATGGGATCCATCCTTTGCTCAGCTGAGCCATGTATGGCCAGCTTAAGGGGATCCTTCATGTAAAGTATTTGCAATACATTTACTGAACTTCTGTAGCTATATGCATTGTGGGGAAATTAATATTCTAAGTTAACAACAGAGGCACTGAAATCTTTGTCTTTTTCTATTAATTCTGTTGCACCCACATCATGGCAGTCTGCTGTTCTTCAAACATTAACACACATCAGGTCCTTGTAAGCTGTTAGAAACCCACTGAAACCCAACTTTAGTCTAGGTTCACATATCTGTGAGTGGAGAATGCAATCAGAATGGTGCTCATATCCAACCCATGGGGAAATGCATGTAATTTAGCAGACCTGCAGGAATGCCAATAGTCCAATCTTTAACAAACTCGTGCAGACTCCACCTCCGCAACATCGCCAAATCCGCACGTTCCTAACCCCAGAAACCACTAAACAGCTCATCCACTCCCTCATCATATCTTACTACTGCAACTCCCTCCTCACACTGGCTACCCCCACACATCGGCACCTGTGGCACATTTTCTCTGTAGCACCATGCGGCTCTGTGCGGCGCAATTTAAATAAAAGAGTTGGGGACTTCTTTCCCACGTTTCTTGTGGGTAGATCAGCCTATTAAAATCTGAATGAAGCCTTAGAGTCTTTGTTGTCATCTTTGAGGATCTTGAAGGCCTCATACATAGGGATACTTGCACGCTCTTGTGTGCATAAAGTCCCTTTCATTTATGGACGCCTGAGAAGCTGCATGTGCCACATGTAACGTGTCACTGTAAGTGAATGGCTGTATATCAATTGGTGTTTATGCAGCACTTCTCTCCAATGCAAAAGGAGTTCATCCATGGAAAAGTGCTATACAAGCATACGTGTGTAAAGAGATTTTATTACAGCCATAGGGAATTTATGCCTTAGAACACAGGAGCTGGTAAGCATCCATGTGCACAAGGCCTAAGATGTATTTACTTCAGATTACAAACAGCCAGGATGGCTAGTTTTAAAGCTTTTTTACTGCTTGTTAAGAATATGTAAATACTTCTGTGTCCATAGTCTAGAAACAAGTGTACTTTAACCTTTCAGATAGATGCTGCCTGTATGTATTACTAAAAAAACATTTTGTTTGCCTAGGGGAATTCTTAAAAAAAGTAACTAAATGCTGGAAGCCGTTTCCAAATAAAATTAGAGAAGAGGGCAAAGGGCTAATCACCAGTTTTATTTTTAACCGCCATGCTCTCGCTGTAGCTGATCATTCCCCATTACTGACCATGCCTAGTTCTGTACTGTGTCCCTGTATGGAGGTTACCATCTTGGCAGAGGCAAGGCTCTGCTTCCTACTATCAAAACCTCCAGCAAGGTGCAGTGATTAGCATAATATTCATATCACCAAATCTCACTCCATATCTCCTGATGGTAGCTCTCAAAAGTAGTACATATATGTCTGGCTACGCTAACACATCAGGAGACGTGCTGCTGTTTGTTAAGATGAATTCAAGACTACAGGTACATTTTTTAGGGTACTACTTAGGCACATTCTAAATGTTATTAATGGTTAGAGTCACGTAATTATGATATACTGTATAGCATACACATATTTTATATTTTTACATCCAACCAGTAGATGGAAAACGATTATGGATGTGCCCTGTAAGGAATGTGTATTTGTAAAAAAAAGATCCTGTATATATAGCAAAACTATTGTTTTGCTATATATACAGGATCTTTTTTTTTACAAATAGATTTTACAAAAGATATACATCATCAGCCTAAAAACATAAACTGTTTACAATTTACTTTTAAACAGTTTGAATTTGTATAAGCAGCCAGCCTGATAAAGTCTTTAAATCATTTTTATTTTGTTACCAGCTGCTGCAAAGATTACTTGATGACCGAAAGCCAACCATTGATGTTATCAAACGAGAGGGGGAAAAGATTGCTGCTACTGCTGACCAAGCAGATAAAGACAAGATCTTGAAGCAGCTCAGTACCCTGGAGCGTCGGTGGGATGAGCTGCTGAAGAAAGCTGAAATACGGTATGACTAACACTGTTCAAATACTTGTACATTAAAACATTCTGTCCTTAACTCTTGAAGATATGAAACATGGGGAGAAAATCAGTTGAACAGTGCAGTACTGAAAAAAGAAAAAACAATTAGTGTTTGTCCTTGATTACTGCATACCTACCCTGTGCCTTGTACCGTGGAACTTATATATTATATAGGCTCTCAGCTTTGGCTTACCAGCACTATGTGATGCATTGTTTCAGACACACTGGTATTGAAGTTCAGGTATTTTGAACACTGTAGCAGATCTTGTAGTCTTATGGGCATGAAGAACCTATAGTCAAACCACTATCACCTTACTCCCATTCCAGACAGAACTTACATACTATCTTAAAAAAATATTTCAATATACTCAAGGCAGACAGTTGTTTGTTATTTCTGGTGAGTAAAAAAAAAAGTTACATCTATTGAGGTTTATGGCTTGTCTGGTTCGCTGCTTTGTGCTGCTTTATACTTTTATTCATGCTAAATAGTACAGCTATCAATGTACTTCTTGCCCATTGTGTCTATGAAAGGTGAGGCTCTCATACAGGGAAGTGAGTATCCACTGTATCCACTGCACTCTCCCCCTGTCCATTCCCACAATGCCTGTCATTCTGTGAATAGGTAACTGAATACAATGTGGTTGATTTGCTAAAACTACAGAGTACACATTCTGGCACAGTTTTGCATAGTAGCCAATCAGCTTCTAGCTTGTTCAATTAAGCTTTGCCAAAAAACCTGGACGCTGATTGGTGTCTATGTAGAGCTGCACTCGATTTTGCACTCTCCAGCTTTAGTAAATCAACTCCAGTGTGTCTTGTGAATAGACAAGGGGAGAGGGGGGCCAATACCTATACTATTAATTCCTTTCAGTGGGTCAGAAGTGCGATATCTGTAATGAACGGAAGTATGAATTTTACAGCAAAGAGCGGGGATCAGATGTGCCATAAAGCTCATAAAATGTAACTTTTTTATACACCAGAAATTAAAAGAAAAAAACTACCCACTCTGAGTTATGTTTAAATATAATTATACACCATGCACATAATATCATTATAAATGCAAAAAGTGCATTGTTTTATATGTGAATTGCTCTTTTTTCATAAATCTACACTGCCAATATTAATATGTTATCATGTATGACTTATTGCTTTGACCCAAGCTTTATTATATCTTTTTCTGGTGTATGCTGTTTAGCACTTCCCTTTCCTAGTGTTGCTTTAATAAAAAGTAAATGAAATGTCAAATGTACCAGGCAGTGTAAACAATGAGTGTTGAAACTCCTTTGTTAAGCACACCTATAGGATTAAGTTGCAGATTAAACCCATCTGTTGTCTGCTACAGTACATACATGGCTTTTCTTAGCTATATTTGTTAATGGCACTGTCTGTCTTCTTTGCGATTGATTGTCTGCCTGCTTTGCGATTGATGCTTTGGTGTTAGTGGACTAACAATTTTGTTAATTCGTAGATAAGTATATTTTGCGCTCTTTTTAAGGGACTGTGTGCTTCATTCACAGAAGCAGATCGCATACGGTATTTAGATGATCTGACACATTTTCCCTAAATATCACATGTGATACTGAAATTGTCAATTCACTATACTGTTATGCGGTATTCACCATAAAAACTGTCAGAATGCTTGGTAAATACTGCATTAAAAAGGGTTAAGGTCAGTTCACAGAAGGAAATAAATAAAATAAATGAATTGGTAATTAAGTAATGGTCCAGGCATGCGGTAGCTAACAAAAGTGTTCTATTTTAACTAGGTGTTAAGGAGCCGGCGTCCGCCAGAATCCATAACAACTAGTAACTGTCATTGTTAAGGAGCAGGCAGCCACTTTGTCTTTAACAACCGATGAGGCATCAGCTGTCAGCGGGGTTCCCTGCTGACAGCTGAATGTAAACAAAACAATTGCTGACAATTGGAAATTTCAGAAAAAACAATGTAGGGGGCCCCAATCCATACTAGGCCCTTTTGGGTGTGTTATGGATTTCAGGGGGAACCCCACTCCAAAATGAAAAAAAAAAAAAAACGCGTGGGGACCACCCACACCCTTAGGTCTAGTATGGATTTTGAGGACAATCTCACGTCAAAATTTTAAAAAATTGGCGTGAGGGTCCCCCCAAAATCCATACTAGACTCTTATCTAATCATGCTGACTGGCAGGCCTGGAAAAAGGGGGAACAAGCAAGCGGACCCAGCATGCCCCGGATGATGAAGTCAAAAGTTTATAGGTTTATTTAGCTATGGAGCTGTAATTTGGCAGGAGCCTTCGTCGAGTTTGGACCTATTTTTATTTTTTTCTGGGTTTCTGGCTAGAGTTCATCATGATTGATGTTGGATCTACTTTGGGGGACATTTATTTATTTACTTAGTTATTGTTTTTTGAATAAAGGACTACTATGTGCATACTTATTCAAAGGAGGGGGGGAACTGGGGGGCCTGCCTGCTCCTTAACAACCATGACAGTTACTAGTTATTAAGGATGCCGTCGGCTGGGCGCTTCTTAACGTGGTATTAGGTATCGCATTTTATTACTACTAAAATACTGCCTCACTTCAAAATATACCTCATGCGATGTTTTAGTAGCCTTTTTTTGTGAATTGAAAACTTTTTTTGAAAAATGGTGTGCGTTATCTTACTCTCACATACTCTGATAAATATACCACTTTGTGATTGGAGCCCTAAATTCTCCCAATACAACGTTGTGCTGCTTGGAATGTTTCTGTATTCACGAATTGGTGATCCTAAAATAGTTCTGTCATGAGGTTATGGAGTCCCAAATGTTCCATGTTTGGTGGAGACACTTTGTGCATTTGTGGGAGCTATGCCAACTGCTATCAGAAAATAACTAAAAGATTTCACTCAGTTCTAGCTAAGATTTTCCCCCAAAATCGAGCGATCATTCCACCCTTAATGGACACTACTGATATCATAGGAGTAAACTGAAAAACTCTGAACAAAATCTTCTAGTTTCTCATATCTTTAAAGCCGGATGCACACATTGGTAGTGCGTTACTGCACACATGTTATTGCACAAAACAATGAAATATACCTTTTTAATTTACAAGAAATATATTAAAATATAGTAACCAATGCAGCACATATTTACAGTAACATAATGTATTGTTAAGAGTCTATGATGCAAAATAAATGTTTAAAACAGGCATACATTCTAGATTGGTTTTAAGGTGGCAAAAACATAAGAGTCTATCACAAGACATTGAGTAAGCTAATTCTTACTGCACCACAATATAATTCAGTGCCTATTGTTAAAGAGTACCTTGTGGATATGTGTTGAGATATTGGGTCATAAGAACAAGATGTAGGGATAACATGTGGATCCATTGATATGTCCTGGATATTTATTGGAGAGTAAGAAGGATGCAAAAGGAACAGGATAAAAATGGGAGAGGGAGATATTAAAAAAGAAAAGGATCTTTTTTTCAGTGCAACGCAATCAACCCACAGATTGTGTGTTGTGGTGTTGGCTGTGGAAATCATATTGTATATGTTGTGGTGCAATGGCTAGGTGTGGGGGGTTCCATTCAGAATAAATTGCACCACAATGCACTACACCATGTATCTTGTGCCACTGTGCTTGCAGAAACGTGTGTCATTGCAACACACAAATGTGAATTCTGTCTTAGGGACTTTAGCAGCAATCTCACATCTGATTGGAGTCTTGCTTCACTTACTGCATCCTTTGTAATGTAAGAGCAAATTCACATTTGTGAGTTGTAGTAATTCAAATGTAAAATGTGTGCTTTGTGCAATACATGATGCTGTACATTGTGGAGTCATTCATTTTGACACTCCAATGTACATAGACAGAGTACTGCAATTCAGGTGTATTTAATGCTCCACAGAGCACAGGTAAGAACTTTATATAGTTATTTTAGCCATATATATATAAAAATATTTGAGTATTTTGTATTTTCATGTCAAGCTATCAAGCTTCTCTTCACTTTTTCCAGGGTTTTTACATTTTTAAATAGAAGGACCCAGAAATAAAAGTATTACCACACTGGGATCCAAAAGAGAATTAATACCAAATGTCAGAAAGGCCTTACAGCAAAGACAAATAACAATGGCTGTATAATGTAAAAACAAAAACACAAATTGTAAGTGTATTTGTTTCTGTTCAAGTCTGGTTCTCAAAGTTTTCTCATTTGTAAAGAAGAAAAGTGAAAAGCTAATAGATTGTTATTAAAAACTATAATTCTATTTTAAAACTGAGAATAGATCCAGAGAGTCATTCTAATGCAAATACAAAAACTTTTTAAAGTGGATCCCTGGGCAGATACACTGGGGCAAAAAAGTATTTAGTCAGCCACCAATTGTGCAAGTTCTCCCACTTAAAAAGATGAGAGAGGCCTGTAATTGGCATCATAGGTAGACCTCAACTATGAGAGACAAAATGAAAAAAAAAATCCAGACAATCACATTGGCTGATTTGGAAAGAATTTATTTGCAAATTATGGTGGAAATATAAGTATTTGGTCAATTTAAAAAAGTTCATCTCAATACTTTGTTATATATCCTTTGTTGGCAATGACATAGGTCAAATGTTTCCTGTAAGTCTTCACAAGGTTGGCACACACTGTTGCTGGTATGTTGGCCCATTCCTCCATGCAGATCTCCTCTAGAGCAGTGATGTTTTGGGGCTGTTTCTGGGCAACACAGACTTTAAACTCCCTCCAAAGGTTTTCTATAGGGTTGAGATCTGGAGACTGGCTAGGCATCTCATGGGGCCCCCCCACTGACCTCAGGCTGCCCCTGTACCTAAATTTAACTTGCATTGCAGCAAAGCTCAGACCTTGTCTGTGTCTGTCTCCTTCCTCACACACACTCTAGTTTCCTATATGTGTTGATCCTGTATATCATAGACAGTGGGGGTTATTTACTAACGCTGGAATGTGCAAATTCATGTGCAGCTCTGTATAGAAATGAATCTGTTTCCGGGTTTTATTGCCAAAGCTTAA